CCTTTACCAATGCCATTCAGTTAATAAAGCCTTTTTTTATTCATTCCATAGTCTATGCATGCTATTCATTTTTTTTGGTACTATACTTTCATCATCCTTTAAGTACTACATTGTGTCTCTGTAGGATGATTTCATGTCTCCCTGTTGATTTTTTGCAGAACTGCAATCAGAAAAGTTGCTTAAGTTCTATACACTAGTGTATTTTTAGAACAATGTTTGCATGTCAATGTGCCTGTACCCGTGTGGTAAATTTTATCATCCATAATAACTTATATGAAACTTCCAAAATTTCTATTTTCCGTATTTAAGCTTTTTATATTCATATAAAAAGATGATGAAATTTGGGGAAAATTGGACAATTAAAAATGGTGCTTTACATGAAGCCTATAACAGTCTTTACCTGACAACCAGAAGTGATTCTGTACCTGAAGCCCATAACAGTTTTTAATGAAAAACTATAGTAACGTATAACCCAAAAAGCATTTTAATTTTAGTATATAAGATCAGTAGATTAGTATGTATCTATTGACCTATTGACCACTAGATAGGAGATTTATATGTATGGGAGATTAGTGCAAGATTTTAGTATAAATGGGGACAACATATTAAATTTTGGAAATTCATAAACCACAAGTGATATTTTTCTTGATGTTCTGAACAGACCTCTTTAACAAAGCATATTACCAGATATCGAAAAAAGTTTCAAGTTTGGATTTAAAATAGGTATGTGATTGATAATAACATACTACATTTATAAGGATTAAATATATTCTTGGACTTGGGCTTCGAATAAGCTCATTGTGAAGACAAGCTTTTGTTATGAAGCATTTAAATGTATTAGCCTCAATCCTCAATTTTGCATTTCACTTTGGTGTTGAATCACTTTTCAAATAAAATTATGCTGCCACCAAATAAGATTGTTACATATTTTTTAAAAATAATATAAAAAATATAAATAATACAAAAGATATAAAAAGAAATGTATGCCAACACTTAACTCTCTATTGGAAGTTCTAAAGACATGTTGCTAAATTTTGTGACTGTAAACTCACTATTGAATTTGAATCACTACACAACCAGAGAATATACTACGATCACTCATAAAATTTGAACTGCTTATGAACAAAAAGCTGTTTCTGACGGCATAGTTTCAAGGTAGTTTGGAAAGCATAAACATGGGAATTTGAGCCTCAATGATGATGCTTGCTCTGGAGGCAACTTTAAATGATGGAAACAATTCTGAAAATGAAAGCGATCTCCTTTCACTGAAAAAGTGTTCTCATTTGATTATACTGAGCAATGACAGCAAAGACAATAATTAAAATTGCATTAAATTAAAATAACATTTTTATTTTGTGTTGCACATATACGAGGGTTGGAACTTTAATAGTGGCAACTATTTATTTACAAGGAATACAAAAGTGATTCATGTCACCATGTTTTACAGTCCTTCAATATAGTCGCCAGCATTGTGTACAACCCGTTTCCAATGATGTGGAAGTCGCAGAATACCTGTAGCAGTGCCTGTTTTGTTGATAATTTGAATGGACCAGTCTACTGCTGCAAGAATCTCAGGAACAGTTGGAAGCGAGTGCCACGAAGTGCTTCCTTCATCTTAGGAATTAAGTCATAGTCACAAGGGCTTAGATCTGGGGAGTATGGTGGATGGTAGAGCACTTCCCAGCCCCATCGCTTGAACAAATCAGTCACAGCTTGCGCTGCATGCGGCTGAGCATCGTCTTGCAAAATGAGAGGAGCCTTCTGCAGAAAGTGTCGCCATTTTTTTCTCAAAGCTAGTCGGAGATTGTGCTCCAAAAATAAGCAGTAATACTGCACAGTGACGGTCTGCTGTGGGGGAACGGCATGCATTAGGATGACACTATCACCAGTCGTACACGAGAATCACCATAACTTTCACATTGCTGGGGTTCTGACGAAATTTCGAACGTCGTGGTGACCCGTGATGATGCCATTCAATTGATTGGCGTTTCAGTTCTGGCTGGTACAATCGGGCCCCAGTCTCATTCAGGGTAATGATACGGCGTAAAAAAGCATCTCCTTCGTGCTCATAGTGCTCCAGGTGGGTTCAGGCAGCATCATATTGTAGCCATTTCTGCATTTCCGTCAATTGATGTGGAACCCATCATGAAGCAATTTTCTCATGGACAGGCATTCCTTCAGAATGTGCAGCACAGACGTATGCGCTAATCCTGTTTGTCCGGCCAGCTGACAAACCATTTGGTGGTGATCACTGTCTATTAGAGCGGCAACAGCTTGCACATCTGCATCGCTGACACTCGGACGACCTGGCCACAGCATGTCTGCCACGTTGGCGTCCTTCATTGAATGCTTTCACCCATCTTGCTACGGTTCTGTAAGGCAATGCAGATTCCCTGCAAGCCTCTTGAAGCCCTTGATGACACTGTCGTGCTGTACGACCTCTGGCACATTCAATTTTTATCCAACATCGTTGTTCTTGTTTTGAAAACATCCTGACAACACTTACTTTAGACCGCAAGCTAATACAAGGATTCGTTCTTCGCATCACTCCGCATGCGCGTGATGTAGGCAGGACAAGTCTTTTTGCTGAGAGGTAAGGTAGGTATGTAGTTTACGTGTGGTACACGCGATATTCTTTGGATTTGTAGCGTAGCGTTTTTTTCAGCTGTGTTGCCACTATTAAAGTTCCAACCCTCATATTTATATTTTTCATAAAAATTAAAGTTATTTATGTAGCTTTAAAAAAAGACTTGGTTTTAGCAAGTTTTCAGAACATAACCCCGCTTTTTGTACTGATTCTGGGTTTTGTATAACACAGTTTCAACCAACACAGCATTTTTTAGGATGAAACCGTGTTATAGGATTTTCTAGGATCTACCGTGTTATAGGAGGGTTTAAATAAATATTACAATAGTTTCCTTATTGGTGCACACGATAGCACACATTAGTTAGATTTTAAATGTTATATTACATTTGTATTGCTAACGTTTCAATGGGTAACAGGTGAATGAATAATTTTCATAAAGGTATAATAATCATAGACTGCATAGATTTCATTTGTGACTATTATGACGTGCCAATTCTCGCTGAAAATAAAGCAGAAAATACAGTTTTCTACGGATAGAGTATTTGTAAGACATTGAGTGTTTATAAATGTACCATTCCTATGCAGTGACTTTAAAAGTTTTCAAATGCCTTTATTAAACTTGTTTTCCTGTCAACAAAGCTTTTGGCAACAAATCTTAATACTCCTAAACACTTGCAAAAGACTTCAAAACTGAGGAACATGTGTACCTTCAGTAGCAATACATGATAATGCAATAATTAACACTACCACCCCACTTCCTCTACACAGTTATGAAGATTGGTTCAAAATACACACAGAAGGAATGCTTTTCAGTTTAAATCTTTGTGCTCATTAACCACTAACCATTGGGTTCATTAACCACTTACAAGTTTCATTTTTCTGCCATATTGGTACCAAAAGTAAGCATACTTCTTTTACAAGCAATTTTGTATTCACATCCATTACATGAATTCAAATCAGCAGAAAAAACTGTTTCTAGCATTGAATTTATTAATTTAAGATAATTTTTAATTACAGCGAAAATATGGCATTTTTACTTAAAGTTGGCTTTTTTCTGAGGAAGGTGCAGAACTGGAAAGAGCACATTACAGGAGATATATATTGGGGGGGGGAGAATGTAATTTTTAAATACTTACATTTTTATTTCTTTTCAAAATTCAGGTATGACATATTTTAAGACATGGAGATAAGCAGAGACCAATATGACAATAGTGACAAAAATATTTGTTTCCTTTTCTGATATGTTTCTGCAACATTTCTTTTTGAAAAGCACACAAAGCCTAAACGGAAAGCAGTAAAACCTGTCCTTAAACTGATTTCACAATCCAGTCTTTCCTGGACTACTAGACATTTATTAGAAACACTGTAAAATTAAAAAAAAATGTGGAAACGCCTGGCAAATCAGAGGACTGGTGTAGGAAAATATACTGTCCAAGAGCAGTGTACAGGCGAATCAGGGAAGTCCCCTTTTGCAGCACCTAAATGGTACTCAGGCAAAACTGTTCAGTGGTTAACCAGCTTTTAAGAAAACCAGAAGATAAAGGTCAAGAAAACAAGCGGATTATGTTATGACACTGCTGATGTTACATAACGAATATGCTACAAAGCAAAACAAATTAACTTACTCCAGTTCTCTGGGTTCAGACGCCAAGGTGCCTAAATATAAACAAATACATCTCCCTCAAAAAAGCAAAATGCACTGATATTTCACTCTAATATTTCGTAGCACAAAATAATTACAAATTTACAAATGGAAGAAACAGAGTAGCATCATGTCCATGATTGTTTTCATTCTAAGTTTAGTTTTCAGATCATTTCAATTAGTCATTTTCTCAACCGATATTAAAATCCCATCAGTTTGTTATTCAAAATAAGTGGCTGCTATAGCAGACATCAAATGTGAATATGTTCCTGGGAAAACAGGCATAAGACTTGAATACTACCACATGTACTTTTTCACCACCCACTGATTCTTAAATGGTGCCCTGAATACTACTTAAAGCATCAATCATCCCCTTAGATCACTCCAACCTCAACTTTCAGAACCACTGCACCACTGCTCTAACATATTAGTATTTACAAATTCAAATGTATGGTATAGTCACCAAAATAACCATTCTAATTTAAGCAGTTGGTTTGCATATCTGTTACAAGAAAGTGATCCAAAGACATGCAAAATCATATAAAAATGAAGGAACTTTTTACCAAACAATACACCACATTAACTTAATTTTGCATGTTTAATGCAACTGATTGGTGCATATGACAATATTCCCATTAGTTGAATTATACATATGCAATTAATGAATAAATAATTATTAGGGTAATGCCAAATTGCTAACATAACATATTTTTAAGGCTGTCATTACGTCAATACGCCATGATGAAATTAAATTCATGTTCAAAAGGATACAATTTTGAAATACCAGGAAAGTCGATTTTGACTAACTCAAGCCATAAATATCGTGACATATTGAACAAAGTCTCAGTATGTTGCATAGTGAAAGGCTCTTCCTATGAAAAAAAGGGTTAGTAAATATTAGTCACAAAAAATCACAAAATAATATACTTATAGCTGGTATAAAAGCTAACAATTAGAAAAAAATATGGGCAAGTATTAACAATATACACATTTAATTTTCATAAGCCAATTATCTTTGATACCTACGAGGTAATTATAAATAAAGCTGTACACATAATATATTTCAGCAGCAAACTGCTGATCCCAAAATTTCTTAACTGCTGCTTTAATTTCCACTTCATCTGTTAAATCTAAGAATACCATGAAATAAATGAAAATGACATAGCAATTACAATTAAAACATTTAAGTTAGAATAAAACTTTATAATTAAATGTTAAAAGTATTTTCTAGATATACCTGCAGAAAACTTCAAAGTTTGCATAGAAAGTATCCAGTAATAATAACCAGCTTCACGGAATCGCTTTTCATTCACAGCAATTTTTGTAAGTTTGCCCAAAACATTTTCAGCTAAATCTTGTTGACCAGCAATACAAAAAGCTAAAAATTAAGGAAAATATTTAATAACTAATAATGTGATGCATTATTATGAAAACTTTTCTTACTGCTCAGGGTTTTCAGTACAACAATCTTTTAAAGAAATCCATGTCTTTCTGGAAAACTTCAGAATTGAATAATAAGTAACATTACAATTTTGTATAGTATAATGTAGAAATAATAATAATTCTCTTAATGCTGATTTTTTTATAATTATATTGAATATCATATATGAATATTATATAATTTGAAATACAGACTGATACAGAGAGCTATGAAATAAAAAAATTCCATAATTTCCCTTAAGAACATAACTAATTATTTAAATACTAATAAATTTTATAAAATATACATTGTCAATATTAATAAATAAAATATCAGTCAATATTAATCAATTTTATAAAATATACATTGAAATGTTCTGTACAGTATTAGTTTTGATAGCGATTAATACCTCTAGAAAGTCACACTGGTATTAGTTATTGTCAGTAGTTTTGTTCTCTGTGATTACTCATCTCCACAGAAGACCACAGTCATCTGGAAATCATGACTGGTCATCATAGGGAAGTTTCACTGTATACTTAGAACATACATCTGTCTACATATGGAGTATAACTAGAACTGATGAAATTTACTTTGTTTAATGTCCCTACTTATCTAATTTCATGATCATAAATGCGAGAAAATGAAATTAGCATTTATTTTATACACATATTTAAATATAAGAATTGTGCCTACCAGTGGCAAAGCTTTTCGCTGAATACTAGTAGTTTTAGTCCAGGATTAAAATCCCGGCGAACGAGCTTACTGCATGAGGGAGTTTGTTGTTTTTTCCATGTGCAAAATGTATATAAGCCAGTTTCCTTAAGAAAGTCCTCCTTTCCCTTAGGCAATCATAGCCCTCGAGTGCTTTGACATAATTAAATAATCCAAACCAAGCCACATATGAGAATTTCTCCCTAAAAAGAAAATTATTGTATGGTTTATGGAAGCCAGTTTCTCAATGTTCATTGCTCCAATCCCCTTTCTCACCATGCATCAGAATATGACATTTTGTAAATTTTATTTAATTATTTATTTAGTTATGTGATGCTAAAACTGATAGGTAGAACTGAAAACTTTAAGTGGAAAATTTGTAATAATACAAATTAAACCTAAGGTTTATTATATTTAATAAATATGCATTATTCATATGTTTATTAATGCATAAAATTATTATATATTTAACAAATACAAATAAGGAAATGCTTCTTTTGACTTTGAGAGACTGCATGATGCCTAAATTTAACTTCACGATTATTTTTGGGTCAAATAATTTTAACTACATTTTAGCAGTTCTTTGTCATGACCCCAACTTTTCTTTACATTTCAAGTATTAACAATCAGAAGTCAAACCATTCTCTTTTGAGAAAATGAAAGTTTCGCTTTTACCACTGACTCAAAATCTCTTAGGTAAACATAACACTTTAAGAGAGTTAAATATTTGTATAAATATAACATATAATTGAAAATTTAGGAAAACTACACATCTGTTTGGATCCTGTGGAAAAACTTGTATATTAAACTTCATAATCTGCCACACATATGCATTAATCTTTTCCGAGATTCAATATGCCTCAGGATAAACTGGTATTAAATTTAAAAGAACTAAACATCATAAAAGAAAATAAACAGGCCACAAAAATGACACCCCATCATCATACTCAATTAAAATATGGTTTACCACTTTGTAATCTACTTCCTTTCAAGAACACTCAGGCTACAGCTTCCACATCATGAATTACAGCCATACAAAAACAAGCAATAATATGAAAGTATAACTAATGTAACAAGTCATAAACTAACATCCATTCTTTGAAAATAGGTTATTTAAAGATAATTTATACATATCTGAATAGTCAGCAATACAACTCCCTTTCTCTCATAATTTTACATACATTCTGTTAAAGTACTAAATTTTTTTTATCAAAATTTTCCTGCAGTGTTAAATGCAAACAAAATTAAATCAGAAGTTGAAATTGTTGTATGACAACAAGAAACATGTAGAAAAGGATAGTGGGCTGATTAGACTAGATTAATTACAACAAAACTTACAAAAGATACTTTGTTAGACTGTGGACCAACGACTTAAAATTTCTGGAGTGTGTATAGTTGTTAAATCCTGTACCTCCACATCAAAATAATTAAAGTATGAGCAGAAAAGTTTAGAGATACAATGGATGTATAAGAGCAAATTAATTAAGAGGACTTCTTAAAGCAAAATGTCTTGCATTTACATCACACATAAAGAAAACTCAGGAGGTAGCCAGAATTTTCATCTACTTATAACCGAATTTATGCAGCCGGAAAGCTAAGATACAAATTTATAAGCTATGGGGCTGACCAATGATGAAGTGAAAAATATTACTGAACACTGACACTGAGAGCTCAACCAGAGCTACAACTACTGCAAAGAAATTAACTGCATGGCAGTTTTACAATTTTCTTTATGTGAAAAGTTAAGTGAACTGTTAAAAAGTTAAGTAATTAAGTTACTGCCAATTCCTTATGTGAAAAATGAGTTTCCTAAAAAGCACCCTGTATAAAGGTATTTCTTTCCCTAGGCAGAAAGCCACATGTGCTTTGCCATTATCAATTAAATAAACAAAGACAACCTGGGCTGAACTATCACTGCTTTGCAACTTCAGCTTTAAAAAAGATGTTCAAATCATATGAATTAAACTATATGCTTCAAGTAGGCTCTGCTAAAAAAAATTTTGCAACACTCACTTATTACACGAATGCTAAAACTGCTTGACTCAAAACTTAGTATTTGATTAGTAATAATTACAACAGTTTGTTTTTAACACAACTCCCATTTTAAAAATGTGCTGCTAGTAATATATTGTGATATTACAAGCAAGATGAAACAAGATCCCTAGATATCAGAAAAATTAACATATATTTAACTGGAAGTTAAATGCAATGGCATGATAGAAATAAATGATCTCATAATGTCAATGAGGTCTAAGGCACATGCTTTAAAAAGACTTATTTTTTATTAGGTGACTGGGTAATTGGAATATTCGTTTTTATTAGTAATAGAGTGGAAATTCTTTACAAATATACTGTTGAATAAATCTGTGTATAAGCAAATATATTTTTCATAAAAATAAATATTTTGTATTTTTAATTTTACCTTCAGTCACTTTATAATAAATTTCGGAGAAGAAAAACTGACGAACAGTAGAGGTTAAATTCAAGAATAATTCTTAAAAAAAAAAAAAAAAACAGATCACTAACCAAATAAACACATATAATAATGAAAGTTTCATTATAGTAGACATTATTACCTTTCTGAGCTTCAACAAAACGATCATTCTCAGCTAACCAATTCCCATAAGGTACATAAACACTCTCCTTGTACATTGGATATTGCTTTGCAAGTTCAAATGCCTGAATTTGTAAAAAAAAAAAAAAAAAAAAAAAAAAAAAAACACACAAATAAATTTTTGACAGAAAATTTAATTCTGATAAAGAGAAGAACATGTGTTACTATATAACAATAAAGAAAAAGTACTTAACACAACAACAAATTATAAAATTCCTGCTTTAGCACAGTTTTATAAATTCATTCCTTTAAAATGTCAGCCTTAAACCGGAACTATTTCTCTACCCAAATTTAAATTAATTTAAATACTACAAAAAATTTTTAGCCTATAATATTTTTAAAAATCTAGAAATTGTAAATTAGAAAATTATGATATTGGCCCCTGTTGCATAAGTTTGGATGTATGATGTATTTACTGATAGGGCAAAAAAGAAATAAATCTAGCTGGTACAACAAACTTAGATAAGAGATCAGTGGGTTCAAATAAATGGAAATGATCATGTATTATTTTGCATAAACTAAAAATAATAAAAGCAGCATGGATTTTAAAAGTTACCAAAACAAATTTAAAATGATGAATGAAATTGTGCCTTATTACAGGTAAAGAGAGCTGAAGATTTTACTGTTCAATATGAACTGAAATAGGATATTTAGACAAACATTATTTAAAACGACAAATAGATTGAACATGTGACTGTAATAGACTCCCATAAATTCATATAATAAGCAAATAAAAATTATTCAAATAATGAAATTCAATAAATGGTAGGAAACTTTAAAATTTTATTACACATAAATGCATTAACACTGAGATATACATGAGCTAAATTAAAGCTCATGTATATCTCAGTGTTAATGAATTTATGTGTAATAATGAGCTAAATTAAATGTAATTTATTTTTTATTCTCCAAATACGAAAGGCTATCAGTGCAAAAAGTGACAGAAATGGCTTGAAATTTCATTAAATTTTCTACAGCTCCTTACACGCAATAAGAAAGTTTGCAAAAACATTCAGAAATACAATAATGTTCAGTGTAGCTTAACTATTAATCATATATATATCATATAACTATTAATCACTGGCTTCACTATTAATCATATATATAAAACTATTAATCATTGGCTTAACTATTAATCAGATGTGAATAGCAAAAAGGTGACCAGGCTTCCCAAATTAAAATGTTTTGTTGACAGCCTACCAGGTCATATCTAGTATTATAATACAGGCACAGAATATTTATACCAACAAATAGCAATAAATGAAACAAACTAGATGATAGGTTCTCAAGCAGGAGAATTCTCCCTAGGGGGTATTTCATAATTTTAGAGGAAAATGCAGTTACTCATTTATTTACCTGCTGAGTATTTAGTCTCAATTTATAAATATTAAAAAAAAAAAAAAAAAAAAAAAAAAAAACCACTTTTATTCAGGTACTACTATTTATATCACATTTTCTATACTTTTCTTGTTTAAGTCATGAAACACATTTAAAAATAATGTAAATTTAAATAAATGTATATATATTTTTCAAGTTTTAGAATGCAGGGGGGGGTGAATGATTGTCTAGCAATGGTGAAAGGGGTGCATGGAGCAGAAAAGGCTGAGAACCACTGGACTAAATCATATTTGCCTCAGCTTTATTTCAATTTTGATTACCAAAAGCCCTGGGAATGGTATCTGAGGCCTTGTTTACTTCTTCCCCATTACCAGCGTGAGAAATTTCAGATCGACAGATTTTTAAGTGCTTTCTTGCCACAAAGACAGTACACGGCCGTGGTTTCAGACTGGTAGTCATAAGCAATTTCATGCCACTCGCGAATATATTTCTTGTAAATGAATTAGCATTATTATGACAAAAATTTGAATAAAGATATCAGATTTTAATCATTTGGAGTCTAATTTTAGATTACTTTCATTACCATTAAAAACAAACATTAACAACCTACAAAATCTACAAATGGAGCTAGTGTGAACAATTCGCTTTCCAGTTGAAAATGAATATTTCTAAAAATTACATGACCTATGAACACCTACAATTTGTTGTAAAGATAGTTTTTCATAATTTTCTTCAAGATTACAAACATTATCAAAATCGATATACCATCAGAAATAATGAAGTTTATAATTATTCACATACAAGTATGCATACCTTTTCTCTATCCACCAAAGAAAATTTAATAAATAAAAAAGTAAAAGTGGTCATTACATGTGCTCAAGCTTTATCTCACTAGGAAAGTTATAGCAATTTTTTTAGCTTTAAAGTTAAAAAAAGTTATTCAATGGTTTATTCAACATATTAAATTATTTGAAATAAATGTCAGTCTGAAAATGTAATAGTTAGCTGTCAATACGTTTGAATTATAAAGTGTAATCATCAGAAATTTCTTGTAGAGACCAACCTTAAAATTTCAAAAAAAAAAAAAAAAAAAACTGGAATTTTTCTTCTTGCCTCATTATTATTACTGTTTATGTATGTTTGATAAGTATTATTTATGAAATAAAATTTAATAAAGGAAAGGAATTTTAGTAGAAATAATAAAGGAATTTTAAAAGAAAATTGTGTCACTTCAAAAAAAAAAAAAAAAAAAAAAAGAACATTAGCTACTTTTATATCATATATTCAGCCCACATGCAATTTGAGTTTGAGACAACTGTTATAGAGTAAAACCTCCATATTTTGCTCAATACGTAAACCTCAGCCTTAGCAGTAAGGTAATCAGCCTACAACAATCACCAAACTGTTCAACAATGAAATAAGATAATGAAAAACTGTAGAATTAGTGGCATATGTTTATTTTGAGCACAACGAAATGTTATCTCAATTTTACACCAGGAATCAATTTAGAGACAGTATGGCTGCATTAAGCAATTGTGCATATTGGAAGAGATCCAGCAAATCATATTCTTGATTGAACGAGAATTCCAAGAATGACATTATCTTATTAAGCAAATAATTTTAATGTTTTTTTAATATTTTCTGTGAATGCTATTATGTAATTTGTCTGCCAATGTAGTACAACTGCTAACACATCATGGTGGGCTAACATTTAATAAGCGAAGAGATCCTTAAAATTTCATGTCAAGGAACATGAGGCATATGTTAGAAAAAAGGAGTCTTCTGTTGCTCAACATTGTTGGTCCGAAAACCACACTTTCAATTTTTCTGCTGCCAAAATTATTCAAAAACATTTTCCATTGGAGAACTGGATTTTCTAGAGGCATTTCCCATTCATAAAAATCTTTCTGTTCTAGTTAATGATCCTAATTCCAATCCAAATTTGCCTTCGGCCTTTAAACAAATTACGTTTTAGTTCTGGTTTCACCAACAGATGGCGCCACTTGCTTATTCTTGTCCAGGCTTTCTTATCTTATCTAATCATTATTTCCTATCTTGTCCATTTGCGCTTTTGCAGCTGAGGATGGTGGTTCGGTAAAACCATCAAAACTAGTCCTGTGAAAATTTTGTAAATATAACGCTGATTTTTTGTTGTTCGACTTCTGAATTAGTATTTATTCGGTGTGTTATTGTGTCTTAATTTAATATGCACATTTGAAAACATCTCGCAGATGGATGATGTCTAAATGTATGCACAAATATTATTTTACTACTGCCAAATTTCATTATACTCATTTCAATTCAGAGCCCTCAAATTTCATAAAGGAAGGAGCATGAATTTGAGCACGGTTGTGATAGAAGTTGATTTTCATCATTGAACTAGATCATCATGCATATTATTATTGCAAATATTATTATTATGTGTACTATCACAAGGCATACATTTCATAACAGCCACAGGGTGACATAGCTCTTGATTCATCTGTGACTCACACAATAAGTAACAGGTCCAAGCATCGCCCCATTAATGGTTTACGATCTAGAGAAATACTTATGTGTTAACTCACAGGAAAAAAATTCCAATGATGTTTAGCCACAGCAAAGACAAACTTTGAGCACTGGCAATGATGTTAAGCAAAGAAGTTCATTTTTACTCTGGACAAAACTAAATTACATGGATGGAAAGAAATGCATTTGAATGTTGAAATATCCAGCAGTTTGAAATGCCATAAGCTATGAATCTCAATCAGAGTTACTAAATCTAAGATTAACAACATTCGACATATTTCTGAGATATTTTTACTTAGACCTGTACTTCATTTAACTGTTTAATTTATCCTGCACACAAAAGTAGTCCGCATAAAGGCAGGAATGCTTATGTAAAGGCCATTCTAAGGGAAACTCGCATGCATTCATGTTATACATAGAGGAAAACCACAAAAACACCCACACAGCCCATCCATTCACTGGGATTTAAACTACCAGAGTTCAGCAGTCTTATCCATTTGGCGCCACAGGTGAGCTTTATCTGCTTCTACCTCACAAATGCAATTAATGGCAATAGATTATTAACCTGAGAAGCAGTAGCTGAAATTTATCACAATTTTAGAAAGTTCTTCAGAAGCAGTTGGCATCTACATAGTCCATCAATTTCTGCCAAATATCCAGCCATTAAGTATGTGGCTAATGCTCATCTGAAAAACTGAAGAAGGACATGTCCAATATGATAAATGAAATTGGAAGTAATTTCATTAAAAAAATATCAATGTAATTCATACCTCAAAGTGAAGCCTAATGGCCACTACCAAATAAATATATATGCAAAATGAACTCCTGATAATCAGCAAATATTCTATGTTGGATAACATATTATACTGAATAAAAGCAAACAATTCTAACAGCAAATGCTATTTGTGTTTCCTTTCAGCAAAATTACTCATTAGAATACAAATGTTTTTTGTGCATAATTTATATATCAGGAGCATTTATTAAAATTTATCCTACAATTCTCTAAACACTTCCAAATGGGTCTTAAAGTTTTTGGAATCTAATTACTTTTCCATGTTTATTTTGACTGAGTTTTAAGTTTTAAATGGAAACAAGACTTCAGTATTACACTATACATAATATTTTACTGAGAATTTAAATTACTACTAATTGTCTTAAACATTTCAAACTGCCGAAATGAAAATTAATATGATAACTCTGCTAAATATTTCATCCAGATTTCCTTCTCTAGTTGCTGTATTCCATGTCACCAAATTACACTGGCAAAAGAGCATAGCTCACTATTCTATCCAATTGTTTGAATAAAGCAAAACTTTATGTTGTAAAAAGGTAATTTTTTTCCTTTACTTTACTGCTGTAAACATATATCTTCAAATTCTTCCTGCCTGTACATTTTACCTCATAATATGCATGAATTGCTAAGATGAAGATTCAGAAATGCATTTTTGAAAATAAGGCCACAAGTTGAAAATGTAAATTGTCATTTGTTACTGGGTGGCATAATATGTTTATACTAGCATCTCCTCCATGTTTAAAAAATAGCCTTCTTCTTTTCAGCTTTCATACTATTTAATTTAATGAAACTCATCTCAGAAAGGTTGTAGTTCAGTCCGTGGTTCGAATCCTAGTGAACGAGCTGGTTGCATGGGTGTTTTCATGGTTTTCTCCATGTGCATATGATCCAGTCTCCCTGTGACCAAAGTTCACCTTTTTCATTAGACACGTGCTTAACTGATTATGGCAAAGCATACAAAGGCTAACTCACTTAGTAGAAATATTTTCTAATATATCTAACAGTTTCTAATAATTTCTATTGTGGAACATTTCCTAAAAGAAACATCTTGCATTCATGTTACAAATGAGCAAAACTATGAAATCCATTTGCCAAGAACAAACATGAGACAAATTAGTTCAGTGGTCTTATAAACTTGCTACTGAAGGCTTCCTTTTGCTCTAAAAATTAGCAGCATCTTTTTAATTGTCTTCTGCGTTATCAGTGTCCCCTAAGAATGAAACATTTTAGATTCTTTTAAGGTTATCTATTCTTGAGTCTTTTAAACTTTTGATCATGAATTAATGAGCCAAATGCTTGCTAACAGTAGTAGGAAAACATTATTTCCTTTTCTTAAATTGCTCAAGCTTTTGATCTTACAATTTGCAATGAAGTTTCAAAATGTGCAATAAATGATAAATGGTAAAAGTGTACAGACTGCAATATATACACATGGCAGAAATGAGAACAGTTAATTTTATTAAAACATGATTCATAAATGTAGGTTTCTATTTTCTATTTATCAGGATTTTGCTATTTTATTTATGTTATTAAAAAGGCAATATAACCAAAGTGTTTTAATATTTTTCCATTATTATATTTTTTGGTAATGGTTGATGAATTTGTGAAAATTTCTTTCAGTATTAAAAATTTTATAAGGTGCTCCAGATATTATACATAATTGAGAACTAGTTAACTGAGAAAAATATTATATCAAAATTTCCTTCTGAACAAATGTATTAAATTTAAATATGATTACTTTTAGAAATTCGTTTCTTAGCTTGTAAATATTAAAATAATTATTATAAATTTTACCTACAATCATACAACTAATTTAGGGTTATAGAATTTTGTAACTTTTGTTTTGCATTTCAAAGGGAACTTTTTATTTATTGACCTTCCCAGATAATTTTGCCAAAAGAAATATAAAAATCCTACTTATTCCTCTGCCTTTCATAATTTCAAGCTTTTAGTTTAAAAAGAAATGTGTGTGGGCCAAATAATATTTAAAATAATAGATGAAAACACATAAAATTAAATATACTAAGTTGTAATAACATTTATAGAAATGAAACTTAAAGACATGTATATAATTTGAGGCATTTACCTCCTTCCAGTTCTTAGCTTCAACATTCATTTCAACAAGAGATGGAATGTCACCAATTTTATGAAATATTTCAGCTGCTGCACCATATTCCTGCAGCCGTTTTAAATGGTTTCCAATGATAGAAATGGTTTTGTGCTCAATTATATCCACTTTTTTAGCAATAGATTTTAGCCTGCAGAGATATGTGTGCATATTACACAAATTATACATATTAAATACACACATAAAGTACATATATATAAAAACTTAGGTCTTATTTTTCTGTGTTTGGACAATAATATTTTTTACTGAAAAGTCAAGAAATATCAGCAGAATTTCAGTGCAGAAATTCTCTATATGGGTAGTAATAATAAACTTAATTATTAACAAAGTCAAAATTTTCACAATCCCATAGCTAAAACTTCAGTAGTTACTAAAAACGAAAACTATTCATTCTGTTCAAGTAATTAGTGACACTCATTCAAGGATGTAAACTGGCATATGATGTTTATTCAACACAAAGCATATGAAAAACTACAGAACAGTTCTTCATGCTTGATAAGTTTGCTGAGAAACAGACCTTAACTGGAAGTAACAAATACAAGGCGTATTCAGAAACTAAGTACCATTTTGAAAAGAAAAAAAAAAATAAAATAAAATAAAATAAAATAAAAATATAGTAAAACAATTTTTCGAATCCAATTTTATTTTTACATGAAAATACATGTCTTAAACTATTTTTCAACATAGTTTCCGCCAATGATCAAACACTTGTCATAGCGGGTGACCAGTTTTTGTATACCATCGCAAAGAAACTTCCCGCCAGTTTCGATAACCACGACTCCACGGCATTTTTCCTGTCATCGTCAGATCCAAAGTGCTTGCCACCAAGCTCACGCTTCATGTGCAGGAACAAGTGATAGTCGGACGACGCCAAGTCCGGGCTGTACGGCGGGTGATCGAACTGCTCCCAATGAAACTGTCGAATTAACGATCGAGTGACACCAGCAGTATGGGGCCGAGCATTGTCATGGAGCAACACAATTCCTTTACTGAGCATTCCTCTTCGTTTGTTTTGAATGGCACGCCTTAGTTTTGTTAAAGTCTCACAATATCATGCCGCATTAATGGTTTCACCTCTGGGAAGAAATTCAGTAAGCAAAACGTCTTTCCTATCCCAGAAGACAGTGACATGACTTTTTGTGATGACATTGTCACTTTGAACTTTTGTTTTTTCGGAGAATGAGTGTGTCTCCACTCTATCGATTGTTGTACGTTTGTTCGACCTGCATTAAACATTCTTACCCACTTTCTCACCATTTTATCACTTATCGTGTATTCACCGTAAACTTCTGTCACTTGACGATAAATTTCAGATGGTTTAACATTCCTCGTATTCAAAAATTTAATCATGGCATGAATCTCACAGTCAGTGGGAGAACTAATTGTCTTAAACATTTTGAATGTGCACAGCAAACTGAAAACACAACATAGAGCAACCAAAATGGCGACAATTGAAAGTCAGTAAACAAGAAAGACTAGTGCCCATGCATGAGACGCCTACCACAGCGCTGCGACTGCGCTAGAATGAAACGGTACTTAGTTTCCGAATACGCTACGTATAAACATAGCTTATAAAAACATTCTAAGTTCTCAGTATTTTAATAAACCTTCTCAAAAAAGGATTATTCTCTTTAATATTATTACCTTATAATTCCACACATAACAAGTATTCAATAATATCTAACTCTCAGTAAGGTATAATACTTCACAAATGATAAAACATAATGAAATGATGCATCATGCTTTGGCAGTAATAAAGGGCAAGTGTTATAATTTGATTTTTGAGGGTTTGTTAAATGTCCCTCAGTAACATCTGTTAATATTAGAAACTTCAAATAATGATGAGTTTTTGATAAATAAAAGCATAACATCAACAAATATTTATGAATGCCTGATAGCCTATGGTGATACAGCACTTTTATATGCCACCATCAAAAGGCAGACTGCTTCAATGAGACAGGTGAAAGATGATGATCTAAGACGAAGCTGCAGCATGGATGCGACCACTGAAGAAATTTGAGCCTAAGTTTCAAGCAATATGTGATGGAAAATTGATAAAAGGCAGGTTTTAGAATGCTACAAATAAGGTACCAATGGCAGGTAAGTGGATAAAATCATGTATGGAAAGATGGGAGATGTTGAAGCTCTGCATCAAGCAGTTACAAATCATAATGACAGAAATGAAGAAACATTGTACTGTGCATTCTCAACAACTGCTTCCTATAGCAAATAAAATAATTTATTCATGACTAGTAAAAGATGAAACATGGCTTTATACTGGGTTGCGGAAACTAAATTAGACAGTGTCTTGTGGAGTCACAGACGTTTATCTTCACTACACAATTTCCAAACCCAGAAATCTGCCAGGATACTATTTCTTGCATTTAAGAGGGATTACGACATATTGATTATATGCCATCCAATAACAGGTGTTTATAGTCCATACCTGTTAATTCCAATCCAACAATCCATAAATGTAAAATACCAAAGCAAACTCAGCAGAAAAGTGTTGCATTTGCAAAATAATGCTCCAGTACTCAAATCTCAGACTTCCCAGACTACTATGCAGCAATAAAGATAGCTGAAAACTGTTCATTTCATTCAAGGAATTAATTTTAAAACGTTTGGCAACAGCAATGGCTGGTTTAATGCCCTGCAAATGTTAAAATTTATATGATATAGCTGAAAATCTCCATATGACAGGTATAAGTGGTTGAAAATCTGCATGTAATAGATAAGATCAGGTCTTACAGACACATAAAACACTTTCCGTGTGTGTGTGTGTGAAAGCTTTCCAAATATAGAATCGTTCATCCACAGAAATAATTAATAATTTCATTTTACTATAAAACATGCTCAACATTTTCATTGAGAATGGAAAGAGTGCTGATATAAATGTTTCTCAGTTAAGCAAAAAAAAAAAAAAAAAAGCCTTCAGGTAAAATGCACAGCTTGGGATTTTGGAACACACACTACACCATCTAAACATTAATTATGCAGGTTAAGTAACAGAGTAAAAGTTATTCAAAATCACTTCAATTTCACACATATTGGTTAAATATACGCTTATGTTTTGAACTCTGTCAACGGAACATCTAATGAATGACTTGCAGTGAAGAACAGAAGCTGCCTGTGTGGGAGAAAGCCCACTCAGAGGAATTCAGAAGAATGAATGTACTTTATATGTATAAAGTGATTAGCTGCAGACAGTTTTAAGATATCGGGGAGATGTTCACCATCACCAAGCAATGGCTGTTGATAAGCCACGAATTTAAGAAAAGATCACAATCTTACATAACCAGGGGAAAATGACTGATGATTGCTAGAGAGTTCCTTCAGATAGTCACAGAAGTTTGTTATCCACCTGGAGTTTAGATCCAGTAATTTTCATTCATTAGCATCAAAAGGATGCATCAAAGAGTGCAGCAAAAGCGATTTAGATGACTACATTTTATTCAATGATTACTACTTGCACAGCACTTCATAAAAGTACCAAAAGCACACACACACACAAAAGATTCATGCGTGTGAAATAAATGAGCTGCCATTAGACAACAGCTTTTGCACACTAAAAGGTACAATGTCACTGCTAACATTCAAAGATCATACAGAAGCTGGTTGATCCTGCCAGAAGTATTATGTCTCAAAGATTAAGCCATGTATGTTTAAGTATATTCTATATTAAGGTGAACCCGCAATTGGCCCAATAAATCCTTTACAGTTCCTTGCATTGTACCTTACTGTACTTGATAACTGTAGCCATTCTAGATTAGTGTATGCAGCAGAGTTCTGACATTTAGGGATGAGTCTATGCAGAATGAGATGAGATGCATATGCCTCTTAGCTTCTGTCTCTTACCGTCATGCACAGAACCACAATAAATCCCACCATATATTATAGTACAGTTCAGTTTGTAAGCAACTCATTTAAAATCAATTTTGGGAGAATAAGGTATATACCGTTTCCTTCCAGTTTTAGGTAAAGAAATTACTCTATTGATGATCTGGATAAAATGGACAAATCTATGCTACAGATATTTGCAGTAATGAAAGATTTTGTATTAGTCTTAAAGCTCCCGTAAATCACCTAAATAATGAGCAACTTATTTTTAAAACACCTAATTGCTAAAAAAGCACCAGAATTTATGTATTGACAACTTCTTTAAAAGTGGAAATGTCTGCCACACAAAGTGATTACTTTCCAGACTTCAGCTCTGTTAAAATGTAAGAGATGTCATGGAATGGTGGATAGTTGTTCACAAGCATTTTGCTAGGTTCGGTTAGATAGTTCATTATGGTACTCAAGCTTGATGTGTCTCAAGAAGACATGCACTTATATTAAATATGAGGAATACCATGTAGCTAATCTGCGAGTTTGAACTACCATTGTTTAGTGGCATTTATGATTTTAGCTGATCTTCTTGTGATAGAACTGTCTAAGAGCTCCGAGTTATGCAGATGGAAGAATGTGGGATATTTCTTCAAGAACTAATTAACACTATTGTAAACATCTTGAACAGTTAGTGTAAGAACTGCATAATTCAAGGAGGAAAACCATATGCTACACTGAAGTTTTAATAAGGCTGATATATGCTGTCTCTATCTTGATATAAATGCAGTAAAAACATTTCATGTTTTCTAGACTCTGCTTGATGCAATCTAATTAACAGCATAATGTTTTCTTAAAATGTAGTAGATTACTATAATGCTAAAAAATGTAAAATTCAACAAAATTAAAACTTTAAAGGTTTTATGTACCGTAGATTCTACTTATTGGTAATATAAAATAATTTTCTCTGCATTAATTGTAGTCAGGATTTGACCCCTTATACTCAAACTCCTTTATCGATCGATAGCTAGATATCTAAAAGATATATCCACCTTATTTTCATATAATCCATGTTAGTATAACAATTTATAAAGAAGTTAAATTTAAACATATTCTGACATTCATGTCACAGATTTCTTTGTCAAACAGTGCAATTATTAAGAATGTGCAGGCAATTCATATTAAGTTGCAGTATTTACAAAGCAAAGAAAACCAAAATTCACATTAAATAGAGAATCAGTTAAAGAAAGAATGTTTAAAATTTTAATTTGCATTTGATATCAATGGCAAGATTTGAATAAAAGTAAAGGAAAAAGTAATCAACATATTGCAGAGTTTCAAATAATAAACAGTAAATAGGAAAGTAGCAGCAAAATACAATATATAAATATTCAGAAATATTGTAGTTGAAATATCAGCTACACTATTCAGGTTTCTTGCATGAAAATAATAACAGTTAATGAAATAAACAGTATTATAAATTAGTATTATTATTGTTGTTATTATCGGGTTGGCCAGAAAGTAATTTCAATTTTTTATTGCAAAATTAACTCACTTTTTTCTACACAAAAGAGGATCTTTAATCAGCCAAATATCTTCCATTGTGTTCGATGACCTTTTGCCATCTTTATGGTAACTTCATAGTTTCACACTGAAAGAACTGATCTTTAGCAGCAAAAAACTCAACCAAGTGTAATTTGAGGTCATCGTTATTGCTGAAATTTTTACCATTTAAGAAATTTTGCAAATTTTGAAATAAATGATAATCCAATTGTGCAAGGTTGGTACTATGTGGGGGGATGCAACATCACTTCTTCCCAACTGAGCTCCAGAAATTTTGTATATGTTGCGAGGCCTCACATTGTCATGGTGGAACATGATTCTTTTGTGATTTGCCAAATCTGGTCTTTTCTCTCTGACTGCTGCCTCTAATTTCATAAGTTGTAGGCGGTAAACATCGAGTAAATTATTTGATTTCTTAGAAGCAGCTCAAATTACACAACACCTTTGTTATCCCACCCAACTGACAGAATGATCTTTTTTTTGATGCAATTCAGCTTTCAATATGATTTGCGCTGATTCATCATGCTTGGACTATCATCTTCACCAATTAATGTAGCTGTAGATGATTAATTTTTCCTCACTAGCGATAATTTGTTTCAAAAAAGAGTTAACTGGATTATGTTTGAAAATGTGTGTCACAAATATTGATTCTTTGCATTAAGTGAATATCTTTCAATTCATGTAGAGCCAAAATTTCAAGGTTGTTAATGAGTCCAAGACATCTTACATGATTTTCAATAGTTGTGTATGACACATTTAACCTTTTTCCCAATCTCTTGCAGTTATATCACGATTAGATTCAATTATGGCTCTAATTTTGCCATTGTCAATTTCAGAAGGTTGGCCAGAAGACTGGTCACTTTCAAGTAAAAAATTTCCCAAATGAAATTTTTTAAACCAATTCTGACACATGTCTAACTTCAAATATCTTTTTGTGAGCCCCAGCTGCTTTCATACCTTTATGTTATACCATGTTCTAATTGACTGCAAACTAACAGTTGTAAATAAAAATAGATGGAATTTCCTTCTATAGTAATTCAGAAGTGTCTGCTGCCAGATCTCTGAAGACAAAAATATAAGATTGATAGAAGAATAACGAAATGAACATAACGCTATCTATTTGTGTGAACAAAAATTACTTTCTTGCCAACTCAATACATTAGAGTATCATTTATTTTCTCTATAAATGTTCAGCAAGCTGTGCAGTTAACTACACATTATCACACAAAAAATTAATATTTAGTATAGTAATACCTAACAAAAATGAGACCATGTACCTAAGGATATTGTAATTATCTGATGTGGCATTTTATTTCGTATTTTCAAACTGGGGTTCAAATATGACAACAGTGTATAATAAGAAAAACTTTATTATCAAAAATATGTTTACAAGTAAAAGAGTTTAAAAAACAAAAAGAGATAACAATTTTAAATTGAGCATAAACATTTTAAAATGCAAAAACATCTAATGATAAAACATAAGTGATCAGAATAATGTAGGAAAAAAAAAAAAGAAAAAAGAGATAATTTTAAATTGAGCATAAACATTTTAAAATGCAAAAACATCTAATAATAAAACATAAGTGATCAGAATAATGTAGAAATGTGATACTCCCTTCATTTAAAAATATGGTATACATCTAGAATTTATTTTTATCAAAAATTACTGAATATGTTCACAGTAATTAATATTGAGCAAGTCTTAAGGTATAAATGTAGTTCAACAGATGTAAGACCCAGCCTTCTCTAGGGCTTCATGGGAACACACTAAACCTAGTAACTGGCGTTCATGATGTTTCTTGGCTATATTTTAAATATGATGAATCTCATGAAAGTTTTCTCTATGTGAACTCCACATTTTTTCTTACCAAGATACCTTTAGGTCTATTTCTTGAGTTTTACTTCATTTGTTCTTGATAAACAAAGAACCATATAACAATTCTTCCATAAAAATTTCTGTTTGCAATGTGGATCTAAACATGTTCATGTGACAACAGCCATAATAATCACAACTTTGATGATGAAAGTTTTGCTTTCATAGAGCTCTTCATCTAGCAACATCAAATCATCAAATTTCATCAAGCTGCTCTAGCTTTGTGAAATTTGTCCTTCCACACTCATAAGCAAACCCATCCCCTTCCTTTTAACATGGGCAAGTCCTGAGTTACAGTTTTCCAGTCACAACACACAACTTTGTTGACATTTTTGACACAGCAAAATCAAATGCTACCCTACTATATCTCAGTTGTTTTGCTAACATATGAATTTACCCACAAGAACATTTGATTATAATTTATTGCTGATAAAACTTCACAACATTTTCAAACGTATACTATATTTGGGGATGGAAGGAGTACATGACAAATATCAGTTTTCTCTTTAACATTTATACACCTCAAAATGGTTTTTCACAGTGCTTTACTTAGACGAACCAGGCAGAAGTCAGAGAAGTAACCTGTAATTCTCTAAAAATGTAAAATTATCACACTTATTTCAGAGAACCTAAAATGTTGAAACACCATCATGCAAAAGCTGCCAAGTAATACTTGAAATTTGCAAAAAGATAGCAAAGCAATTTTTATTTTTCAGGCATATTTTTTCATAACTGTTGTCTTTATATTGCATCTCTGTGTCAAACAATGGCACTAAATCTGATTTAAAAAGTTTGCGAGAAGTTTTACAAAAATGCAAGTATCCATAATTTTAGTTAGACATAAAAAATACAAATTTTTAATCCTCTCACACATCCTCCCAAAACTGCTGCATTTAAACTAGATGTATACACATTTCACAGTCAAACTGTCATTTGTTTTAAACTGACATGAATAGTTTGTGAGAAATTTAAATAAAATATGAATGTTCCTTATTTTCACTTGATGTGAAAAATCTGATTTCTTAATTCTTTTTCATATTTCTCCAAAAATGTTGTATTTATATTACATCCCTGCTTGAAATTTGAAATCTACAGACATTTATGCATCAAATGGTGTCATTAGTTTTATTATGATTTAAACAGTTTCGGAGAAATTTAATAAAAACTCTGGTGCCCCCAATTTCTACCAAGTATGAAAAATGCAATTTTTTATTTCTCACAAATATTTCTCCAGAAAACTTGATTCATAATTTAGATACTGAAGACAATTTTTAATGTTTTATTTATTTTCAATATAAATTTTAAAATGTTATTAAAATATTCTGAAATGATTATAAATTGCAGAAATATTCATTAGCAAATAAGAAGTTAGTAAAGTTTAGCAAATGATAAGCCCATCCCAGCCTAAAAACAAATGTAATTAAAAGCTTTATCCTGAACATTATTATAAAGAACACTTAAAATGCAAATTATGAATACTCGTAGCTTACATATCAGCCCAATTATTTTCAGCTGCTAATTCCACAGCCTTTTCTATTTCCCCAACTGACAGATACATTTCTGCTGCTGCTCTAGGCTCACTGATAGTTTTTGCCCATTCAGCTTTCTTTAACACAAGACTTCTTTTTTCTTGATCATCAGAAGTTGAAAGAAATTCCTAAAAATAAGTTAAGAATATGCAATAATATAGCCAAAAGAATTTAAATACTTAATAGTATAATCTTTATGGCGAAATTATTATTTTCATTTAGCACACATATCTAATTGCCATATTTAACAGTAATATTAAGAAGTAAAATAAAATTTTAGTCATATTTCATTGCTTGCATTTTTACTACCTGTTCAGAGAAATGTCAACACAGTAAAAATTAAACATTGTGGGAGTTTCCACAATGGGAAAAGAATAAAATGTATCCCACATTATTAAAATAAATTTTAAAAACTAGCTGATTTAATAATAGTATGTGAGTTTAATACAGAAGCACATAAGAGAGTTCTCAAAAGAAGGTGTGCGAGAAAAAGCTTTTACCTGCGCTTTATCGAACATACGTAAGTCAATATACATCATATAAGCTTTGCCTTCAGCATTTGCTTTTTGGTAAACACTGGCTGCTAAATTGAATTTTCCAAGGTATGCATACACATCTCCTATCAGTGAGTAATCAGATTCGCTTTTTCTACGAACCTGTAAAATATTTTACATTGAAAGAGTTGAATGAACACTTTACAAAGCATAAGATGCAACTGACACTTTTTGGACACCAGAAAATTAAGGAAATTAGCATGAAAAGGGTGAATCAGTTTCATATAAATGCAAAGCAAATCAAAGAGAAAGCATTTCGGGAAACAAAAATATTCAAATGATGTAATATTTTTCCTGAAAATACTTAATTTTTGAGTTAGGAAGTAAGGATATTTATTTGGACAAAAAGTTTTCATTTGTCAGAAAATTTGCCCTTTGAACGAACTGCCTTCTCAGTTTTAAAATAATTTTGTTAAATCACAATGGAGTGGTAAGTAGAAAATGTTACATATATGTGAAATAGCGATAATGAATACTGTTTTGCAAAATCAGCTTAACTTACTTAACAAACTTACACTGGTGTGCAAAAATTAAGGACGAGACGGTTTTTTCAATATAACTTTGTACAAAAGCTTTCCAAATCAACACATTTAATACCGTAAGATCCCCAATATGCAAGGACATGAGTAATGTAAGCAACACTTACTAAAGAGAAATCAGAGGCATAAAAAGAAGCTTTATTGAAAAAGTAGCATGGAGCGCAATGCGACTGAAGGCCGAAACATCCCCGTGATGGGTGTCCAGCAAGAAACATCCGGTCTTTAATAGGGGATATGATCTCCCCTGACTGCTAGGCAGGTTTCACAGCGTCTGCCCATGCTGAGAATGAGGGTGTCAATGAGATGTTGAGGCATTGCTGCCCATTCGTCTTGCAGCGCCAATCAAAGCTCCAGAATCGTTACTGGTGGTAAGGTACGAGCTGCCAAGCGTCTGCCTAGAAAATCCCATACATGCTCGATGGGATTGAGATCCGGAGATCGTGCCGGCCAATCCATACATTCAATATCCTCACTCTCTAAAAGCTGTTCGGCAGCTACTGTGCGATGACATGGTGCATTGTCATCCATGAAAAGGAACTGTGGACCCATAGCGCCTCTAAAAAGACGCACATATGGAAGAAGAATCTCGTTACAATAATGGGTCCCGTTGACTGAACCTGCGTTGAAGATGTGAAGGTCTGTACGGCTACCAAGCATGATGCCTCCCCAAATGAGAACACCGCCACCTCCATACCTGTCCCTTTCAATGATGTTCAAGGGATGATTGCGGCTTCCCCATTCTCTCCAGATGAGTATACGATGAGAATCACTACTCAGACTGAATGTGTTCTCATCTGTAAAGAGTACTCGTCCGCATTCATTGTCTCTCCAATTCCGGTGTTCCCAGCACCACAGAGAACGCCTTCTCCGATGGGCAGGCGTTAGAGGTACACACTGTACAGGGCATCGTGCAAACAGACCACCACCGTGCAGTCTTCTGGCCACGGTAAAACGCGATATTGGTCGTCAAGTCGCCTGTGTCGTGTGTCTAGCGATTTCTCCCGCTGTCTGCCGCCTGTTTCTTCTGGCCTGTAAGGCAATATACCGATCATCTGCGGGTGTGGTTCCTCGTGGACGGCCACTACTAAACCCCCGGATAGCTGTTCCTGTAGTTTGAATTGTCTCCAAAGTCGTGAAACGATGCTGTGAGCAATTCCGAACTCTGCAGCCACACTTGTCACACTGCGGCCTTCTTCCAACTTCCCAATGATTCGACCTCGGGTAAAAGCATGCAGATGTCGTCTAACAGATTGATTATTTGCCATTTCTCGCTGAGGCAGCAACTCGGTGTGATTTTAACTGCTATATGGCGTGCAATCTCTTTGCCAGAAATACTGATCTTACACCGACAACATGCTTTATACTACTCAGACACTCCCCCATTACGTCTACCTGCATATCTGCGCATGTGCTACCGTACATTACCTTACTTAATCTCCTGATTGGTCTTTCTGTCCGCTCTGCCTCTTCGTTCAGCTAATATGCTAATTTTTCAACTTCGTCCTTAATTTTTGCACACCAGTGTATACTAGAATACAATTTAACAAATTTAAACTAGTTTAGATTTTGCTATTTTTTAAACAAAGACGACTGAAAAAGGAGATTTTAAAAATAAACTAGGCCAAAAGAAGTGACTGCTTCTAGGGATTGATTACATACTGTATTATAAAATAATTTAGGGATCAAAAAATGCTAGTGCTAGGGATCACACTAGCATACACAGTGGAATTTGAATTTCCTCTGCTAAAAATATCCAAGAGGTAAATCTCTACGATTAAAAAAAAAAAATCAAATTTGTCACAAAGCGAGAGCTTTATATGACATTCCCTGTCACTGGGTGGAAAACTCCACAATTCGGCATAAACTGGTTACGATGTCTGAAAAACTGGTCGAGGAAATCATGATCAGTTTTCAGAATAGAGGTAAATAGAATATGTTAATACTCATAACTTCCAGAAAAGAATAATCTGCAGGTATGAGATTGTTAATATTATTTGGAAGTGATGGACTTTGCACTATTTGGAGATGAATACAACCCTTCATCCAAACAATTATTTAAATATACTAGAATGATCTACAGTTGTATATAAATGTATTGAGTGATGTAACATGTGGAGTGAGAAAGTTTGTTTTCATTGATTTTTATCATGAGCCCTGTACGGTTTATTTGGACACATTAACGAAAATTATTTCATTCAGGAAATACACATGAGTGCTATCTGCTTAAACCCCATCTCAGACTAAAAGTATCTCAAGGAACATAATCCAAGGGTCTTGTACTCCTTCCCCACTAACATCAATCACCACAAGATTTTTTAATCAATTTATTTTAAATGCTCATATGCTGAAATTACAGCACAGTTCAGAAGGAAAACCTTAAAGAAAATGTTATCAAGTTGGTTTTAACATAACCCAAAGCATATACTCCATTTTAGAAGAATCTTGACCGAATAAATGATAATTTTACAGCCCTGCCCAACTGCAATAAGAATGTTGCTGAAAGTTTGATATCTAGTCTAAAAAAAAAAAACAGATACTCAAAAACATAAATACAAAGTCACTTGAAATATGCCTTTATAGAAGAATGGGATAATGTATCTTCTAACACATCTCAAATTTTATGGAATCAGAACCATAGTGCTTAGAGGCTATTGTACGAGCTAAAGGTCATGCAAATAAATATTAACAATTCATGTCATAGTTTTATAAAAGAAATTATTACTGAACGTGTAAATTTTCCTGAAGTCTACAACTATCCATTTAAAATGCTTCGCATATTTTAAGTTTTTATTTTCAGGTTTTCATATAAGTGTCATAATTGGAGTTATTTATCAGGTCAATGAAATAAAAAATGTAACTGCACTTAGACCAGATTGTTAAATCTGAACGCTGCACTTGTCTAGCAAACGTTTGGTGCATTCTCAATGTTTAGTGTGTATTCTTCTAAATAAAATAAATATCCATATTTATGTAGAAAGGGAGCATGGGAATTTCAAATTCAAACTATGGCAAAAATCCTCTTCAGATTAAACTTTCTCTCTCTTCAAAAAGGATCTGTAACTATTTGCCTTAAAATGCATAATTTTCCTCTTAAACCAATGACAATTTGAGATTAACTTTTGCCTTAATTTAAAAATAGTAATGCAATTTTGATGTTCTTATTAATAATGAATGAATTGCAAAATTACTTTGTATATTATGGTTTCAATCTGATTTCAGAATTTAAACAACAAATATTGTTTTAAAAATTAAAAAAAAAAATAAAATTACAGTTGTACTATATTTGCTTTCATAAAAATGATCTCCGGAATATTTTTAATTTGTAGGGATTTATATTCATTTTAAATAACCAGTTTTATTTCATTTAGTTTTCTTTCCTATAGGCCTTCATTCCCCTAATTTTCAGTACCAGAATATTTAAATTTGATAGCATACATGAAACAATGCAAATTGCACCTTGAAGAAAGAGTTTAAAAACCGAGGTTCAGTATGAAAGAGAGGAGAGTTAGACTATTGCTGTCACCTCTGTTGCTTAAGCATCTGCTGACAGCAGCTATTGGTGGTTTGCATAAGTTAACTACACTTACTTGCTGCCACTAGTTTTCGACGAGGGTTTAAGAAACAGGAATTATTCTGAGCCCTGTGGTTTAGTTCAGCAACTTGTACATATCTTCAGATCTTTATTAGTTCTTTGATTTCAGTTATCATCCAAGCAGAGGCATAGTTTGTTAGCATCGAGATAACACATTGTAAATTTTAAAAAGTTAATAAAGGGTACTTTTAACCCTTCTTCTGTGCAGTTACTACTCTTACAGTTTTCACACAGGAGTTACTCTAGTGGACTCAACAAATTAATTAAGCTAAAAGTACAACTTCTCATAATTATATATGCCAATATTAACAGTTTACATTGTTTTTTTATTTCTATCATTAGTTTAAGATAACTTCATTTTGAATTCCTAGGTATAGCAATACATTCAAATTGTTATTATAATAGTATAATTAACACTAATTTAATACAAGTAAATTATGGAACTGAGAGTATCCACTGGCATGGATGTGAAAAGACAAGAAAACATATTAGAATGGCTAGTGAAATGAACATAGTGTCATTTACAATAAAAGAAACTTGAATTAGACTTCAATAATTCATACTTTTCTATTACAAATAATATATCCCACTTACTTCTTTAAGATGTTTCTGGCATCTAAATTAAAAAAGTACGAACATATAAAATTTAAAGATAGCCTATTTTAAGAAAGATTTCCATTAACAATGTTAATTTTTTTAAAGAATTATCTTCATTTAGTACTAAAGAAACATTTTCTTTAGTATTAAATGAAGATAATTCTTTAAATCTTACACAGAGTGTATTTAAATCAGACATACTTCCAATGATTTAATCAACTTCAGAAACAAAAGGTCCTTCACACGGATAAAAGCTTGTCGAGCCACATCTAAGCTTAAATTCTGTATTGCAGCTTCAGCTAGAGCCCTCCAGTCTCCATCAGTAACTCCCAGGCATGCAACAGAATATGCTTTACTGTAATATCATTCAGAAAGATGCACATTTAAGGGAACTGCAAGCTTTATAAACAGGTTAGAAGAGGTTTAATACACAGAAACAAATAGCAGATTGAAGATAATGAAAACGCTACAGCTCTTATGCAACAAAGGTACACATTAAAGGGAACAGAAAACTTTATGAATAGGTTAGCACAGGTGTAATACAAAGAAGCAAATAATACCAAACTGAAGATAAAGAAAATTCTGCAGCCCAGTTCTTATGTAATAAAGGTATTGGAACACTTGACTCAAATACTTTTCAAATTTTTAAAACCTGAAGAACCATATAATTTAATGTAAAATTTTTTTAAAAAATTATTTCATAAAAAGTTCTTCACTAAGAGTACAAAACATGCATCTCATTTTGGAAAAATAATGAACAGAGAAGTAACGGTTAACTCCCTTGCAACATGGACTGCTTTGAACACTTTGTAGACAGAAAATTAATTCTGAAACATATATACAGCTATAGATAAGAAAATAGAAATACATTTTACTTTTTATTCCTATTTACTTATTTCATAAATTTAAGAATAACACCACTCCACCTTTTTTCCCCTCAAATTTATGTCTAATATGGACTGTTTGGACCCTAGTGATATAAATTATTGGCTCAGTACGAATCCTTATGGATTATTAAACCTTTGTTTAGAACATAAAGAAAAGTGGAGTGAAGATAAAAAAGAAAAATAATATGAAAGTGCTTTTGAAATGGATGGATTAAGGATCCTAATATCCTAAATAAAGATGATATCAAGAGTTAGTAACTGATCGGTTAAAACTTGCAGCTATTCTGGGAAAAATACGAAAAGAAATCTTTCAGTCGAAGAAATTTATACAGTTAATTATATCCAATTTTCATAGTCTTGGAGAGTTAACTATCACAGTACAAAATAACATTAAACACATAGAACACTAGATGGCACCAGAAAATTAGTTCGCATCCAAGAACTAATTTTCCAAGTATAGTATCCAAGAATTTCTTATAACCCAGATTTCCTTGCAGTTACTCAGTCGTAAAAAATTATGTAAAATATTTTATTTTAACTTAAACCAAATCAAAATTTATAAAAACCAGTTAAAATAAAGTGGGTACCATTCCCCTCTGCCCCTTCCACATTTTATTTAACATCAGTAATATGCTTTTGCTCTTCATGCATTGAAAATACATAACAATTTTAGGAATTTATTGCATTTACAAGATCTCATCATGCAATACGAAAGCAGACTGGTAATGATTAAAGATTTTTCAAAGATTTTATAACAATGAACCTACAAGCCATAAGCAGATTCATGCACAGCATGCAGTGACACACACTGAAAGAACATGCAATTTGAGAATACTGGATATCACTGCAAGTGCAGATTTATCATTTTCAGAATATTAATTGCTAGTCTGTGAATTCCAATCCCTTAGAACAGAAAAATTAAATTACATGCAACTTGGGCCAACATGTGTGAAAAGTATTTGGTATGATTCTTATAAAGATGGGTGATCATAGCATTTGTATAATTGATTATCTACTCGGTTCTCATCAGCCCTTTACTACCTCATGGATCAGTAATGGCCCTTTAGATCTCACCACTATTAATGCTAGGAAACTATGAGCTAAGACAAATACCACTCCTTCTTTTTATATATCTTTATTATGCTATGAACATGCGAAATGCATGCTTGTATTAACTAAATAATATATATGCCTCTTACGCCAGCTTAGTTATATAGGTTCACTGGAATAACGTTATACCAAAAATAATGAACCGTACTGGCCTTGACTGTGTCTTTGTAGCACCCATTGGTTCTCAACGAGAGTGGTACCACCTCCTGGGGGCAGTGAACTTGTTTTGGGTGGAAGGGGCGGTGGGCATGTTCTGGGCAGTTGGTGGGCAATGAGCATGTTTTGGCATTTGAACTTAATTTTAAAACTCCCAAAAAATTTATTAAATTGATTATCCGATTTATGCCATTTGTACCAGGAATAAAAAAAAACTAAGGCAACTTCTCCGAAGAATGGTGAGGCGAATTTTTATTCTAGGTAGGATGAGCTTGAAGAACTCATCACTACAGTTTTTCTGTGATCTCAACCAGCACAGCACATGCATCAGCTATTTCTACGCACCATTAATCACAGCGCATGCATTGAAGTACCCTTTGAATATGAATTTTCAAAGGATACTCCGTGTTTCTTACGTTGCTTTTCATTCGCTTCATTTCTATGTTTTTTTTTCCTTTTCCCTCACCTTCGATTTACTTTAATTGTTTATTTGGCCAGTCACCTAGGTAATTGTGCTTATTAGTTGTTTATTGTGATCGTGAATTATTAATTTTGAGAAACAGTTACCTTTCCCTCATCATATTTTGTTGCCACCAATGATATCGTTTAATAAAAAGAAATGCTGTCAATACAGTTTCTCATATTTGACGTTTGAATTCATTCCTTCTTCATCAAACTTGCAGCTGCCCATGTCTTTATTTTGTAACAAAGTGTTATCTAAAGAGGTAATTTTTGTTTGCAAGAGCATCTGCAAAAAGTCCATCCTGACAAACAAAATAAAGATTTGTAATTTTTCACGAACATCAGGAACAAGTTCCTGAAAGCACTGGCTGTCTCAAGCCTACTAGTAGCGTCATCAAAACAATGCGACGATGGTTTGATAGCCTCTTATAATATATCAAAATTAATTGCTAAACTGGGGAAATACATATCATTGGTGAAGAGTTGATACTGCCGGCTGTTAAGGAAGTTTTAGAAATGGTTTTACACCATTCAGCCGCATCCAATATTATGAAAAATGTCCCATTAAGCAATAATACAGTGCGACGACAAATTAATGAGATGGTTGAAGATGCTAAAACTTCCTTATGCAAACTTTTGAAACTCACAGAGTTTTCTCATTACATTGATGAAGCAACCTCGTCAAGTACTAATGATGCTTTACTATTAACGTATGCCTGGTTTGTGAAAGAAGGAAAAATTATTCAAGAGATGCTTTTTGAAAAAATCTTGATCAACTATAAATCATGAAAAAATTGAAAATGAAAACTTTTAAAAAATGAAAGAGTAATCAATTAACCAAATAATTATCACCATTGATCGAAAATTGGTTGACTTTTCAAGGGGAACAAACCAACACCCAATCAATTAACAATAATTAATAAACGCGAAGGTGTTTCCTCTTTTACTCAAGAATTATGATGCCAAACTGGTATTAAGTATACTGAGTTTAAGCCAACTAGGTATATTATAAGTGAGATCAATATAAGTTAATGTACCATATAGAATTCATTATGAAAATAGCAGTCCCATTATGTTAAAAAATTTTTTAATACCATGAGATATCATTGTTAGACTGAGTGGTATACTTTTCTTGAGTAAAGTGTCCCCTGACACCCCCACTTTTCAATCATGTTAACTCAAAGTAATCTTTATAAATACAATAAACAAAATGCAGTCTTTGCAAAAAATTATTAAATTTATGTTGGTAAAAATATTTACACGATACGAAGGTACAATTAAATGTACAAAAAATGTACAAAAGGAAATGTACATAGTATACACAAATGGCCATAAAATTAATTAATAAAATCTACCTACTCAGCTTAAACTCAACTGAATATACTAATACCAGTGTGGCATCATAATTCTTACTTGTGTAAAAGATGAAACACCGTCACATTTATTAATTCTTGTTAATTAATTGGGGTTGGTTTGCTCCCCTTGAAAAGTCAAGCAATTTCCAAACAATGAGGGTAATTATTTGTTTAATTGATTACTCTTTCACTTTTTTAAAGTTTCCATTTTCAGTTATTTTCATGATTTGTATTTGTTGTTTCATTTTAACAAAGCTTTCAATATTTATTTTTAAATACTTATAAGTTACTTCATTCAACTAAAAGTCTACTATATTTCTCAAAGGAGATAATATACTCAATAATTCATTAGTAAATATATATATATTTACGTTACTTATTGGTTTATATTAATTTGTATAGTTCTTTTTTAGTTTCTTTTTGATTAATATGCATATTCGTGTCGAGGAGGTTTCTGTAAACAAGTGTTTTTAAAATGTATTGGTTTCTAAATTAATTTTTCTGGAAAATTTAATTTAAAAAAAAAGTTTAATTTAATACTAAACTTTTCTTCTTTCTCAAAATACTTCATTATCGGTATTTTCCTTTATACCTTTAATTTTAATTGCTAATTACTCAAGGTACCACTTAGTTGGTACTTCTTTTTGAACATTCTTCCCTACTTTTGGTTTTGACTTTTACCTTTGCTTGCATGAATGAGGAAACACAAATTGAATGATTGAAGAGTTAGGAGGCAACTTCCCCTTGATAAGTCTGTCTCCTGCCTGCTCAACAGTCATTCACATATGCATTTAAAAAAAAAAATTTAGATTAATTTTAATTTACTAAATTGGTGAATTTATTTTCATGTTTTGGTTTTGCACTTGATTTACTTATGCAATCTGAATTTAAATGATATTGTAAATTAGTTCGAAAATTAATTCTTTTATATGTTTGCACATTATTTTAACTGTAAATTTTCTTTTTTACGTATATACATTTTTGTTAAAAAAATATATGTATATATATATATAATTAAAAAGTAAATTCTTTAAGCCATAGCCTATGAGCTAAAGTGATACTTCAGTTCCTTTGCAAAAAAGTTCAAATTTTCAAATTTTTCAAAATTCAAAAGTTTATTTCAAATTTTACAGCTCAATGCACAAAATTCTTGACCTCACAGGTCATTAGTTTATTCACATTGTTACATTATTAATGAACTTTTATCTACCTACAGAAAAGGGATTATTCCAGTTACACAATCATTTCAAGGACTATATGAAGCATAAAAGGATAAGAATCACTACTATAGAGACTATTAGATAAAATCAGAGAGTTGTTATTTCTGAGCCGACCCAATATATGAGCAATAAAGATTGTTAATGTAATTTTGACCTAATACTGATTTAAGAGTAAATAAACAGAATAATATAGATGAGAAAAATCTTAAGAGCAATTATGAAATATATACAAAACAAGTGTATAAGGCCTTATATATTAAGCGGAAAAAAACTGCAGGTGCTTTATTTTTTAGCACAACATTTTCGACTACGATGTTTTTGAACTGCGAAGTTTTTTAACCGCTTTATTTTGTACCACGATGTTTTGTACCACGACGTTTTCACCTTGCATGTTTTCTCGCCGATGTTTTCAGCTGTAACCCTTCTTGCTGCACGACAAGACTCCCTCTCACGCGGCTAGGGTTGTGTTGCAGTTTCTAGCAAAATAACATGTACCGATTTTTAACCGCTCTCCATATTCACTTGCTTTGGTGCCAAATGACATACCATCTACAAAGAGTATCAAAAGGGTGCAGTAGTAATTAAGTTTGAAGTTATATGACTCAAAAAATTAGCAAAAAATAAAATTCATAATGAATGAAACAGCTATTAGATCTCAAAATTACATGAAGAAAACAGGTTCACATGCTTCAAATGCAGTGATCAACCATCCTGTCCTCAAGATAGAGATATGCCTAAAGACCATGTCTTATTGCCTTTTATATGTTTATATACACACACAACTCAACAGGAAAGATGAATTCATGGATGAGAATTTCAAATTTCCAATTCTTTAAATTTTGTGACAATGTCATTGGTTTAGACACTGTCACAAAAGAAGTAATGTTTAAAGTAGCCCCAAAAGATAAAATCTGCTGGTCAATGCATTAAGTTGGCAGTCTTTAGATTCAATGGTGTGAAAAGTTCTCTGATGTGCATGTTGTCTGATACATTCATTTAAAAATTATGATACTGCATGTTAATCCTTCCCTTGAGTATAGAACTTATTGGGAAGATTTTTCTTCACTTTATTTTGTAATTGTATCATTTCAAACCTGACATAACTATTTTTGTAGCAACCCACAGCACATAATTGACAGAACAGTGTATACAAATAAACAGATGAATAGATGAAATTTGGTGAGAATTTTATTTTTGACACAATTTTTAAAATGCGATATCAGATATAAAGTAATAAAATAGAAAAATGCTCACTTGAACATCTTTTTCTCGATGTACTGATACATAGATGCAGACAATGGAATATCAATTGTTGAAATAGAATTAAAATGCAAGCAAAATACTTTAGCTCCACAGAATCCAATTACAAAACCCTGTTAAAAATTAAATATCATCTATTATGCAATGTATAATGTATTTAAATAAATATCAGGTATTCAAAGGTATGGGAATAAAAACTCTAAACTAATTTCTGTTAAAATATGATGATCTACAGTAATAATGTGACTTTATTTTCTAATGAAAAATGTCAAATCTCTTATGCAACTGTTAGCCTGGTTTTCATGTGATTAATATTTACAAAAGACTAAAGCAAGTGACATAAAATTTTGTTACAAAATATTTTATTTAGACAACTTAAAGAATGACATTAAGAAAATTCTGATACACCTAAAACGGCCATGCATAAATACCTGAAATTTCTGCTGTTGCACATTAAAATTTTCCACTTTGATATTTATCAGTCCAGCACCAGTGAAACACAGCATATCTTCGTTCTGATTGTTCCATGCTACACTATTTGCGTTCGGCTCCTAAGAGGATAAATATGCAAAACATTTTTAAATCACAATATTTAAAAATATTAGATAGAATCAATAGGTAAGTATTAATAAAATTGTGAGATAAATATGCAATATATGAACACTAAATATATTAAACTCAGTAATCTTATTTAACTATATACTTTGAATTCACCTAGTGTTTACAACTTTAGCACATTATACCTGGTTGTAATGAAAGTTTTCTAACAAACAAACAAACAAAAAAAAAAAACTTAATAAAGTAAAAAAAAAAAAGTACGAGAGCAGTACCTTTAGTACGGGTAGTAATCATCACCCAAATCTATGATTTTCTGCCACAGTTTTGGTAGTTTTTCAAAGCCTCTGGTCCCAAAACTTGGTGGCCATGAGTTCAAAAACAGATCAACCTCATTTCGGATGTCCTGTATGGAATGGAAGATAGCACCAGCAAGATGTAGCTGTACGGATGAAAAAAGGTAGACGTCTGAAGGAGCGATGTCGAGGTTATATGTTAGATATGGCAAAAGATCCCATTCCAGTCAGTACAGAGTCCAGCCGGTGAATGCAGACACATGTGGTCTTGCATTATCTTGATGGAACATTACCTTTTAGTGCTGGAACTCAGTTTGACGATTTTTCTTAACAACAGCATCAACACGAACTAGCATCACATTGTACATCTTACTGTCGAGGGTTTTACCTTTCTTTTAGATACACTTTGTGGATAATACAACAGCAATCCCATCAGGTACAAAATATGATTTATTTGTTAGTCAAATTGCAGTTTGTGATGCTGCTGACGGGCTCACCATGTGCAGACCAACCCTCTTTTCATCCTGTGTTGTTGAAGTAAATCCACTTTTCATCACAAGTGATGACCCAGTCCAGAATTTTGTCGTGTTGATATTCAAGCAGATCAGGGCAGGCTCAAGCAGTTCTGTTCTTATCTGCTTGAATCAGCTCATGCAGCACACACTTATTGAACTTTTAACGTCATGTTTATGCAATGCATAGTGTGACTAATGGACATGGCACTAACATCTAGCTCCTTAGCAAGCTCTTAAATGTTTGTATATTGATCTCCTTTCACAAGTTGTCATAGGTAAGCTGCATCAACATCAGTAGGCCAGCCAGAATGCTCTACTTCTTGAATGTCCTAGTCTTTGTTTTTGAACTTTCAGTATCATACCTTCACAATAACATATGGCACATTAGTACCTAAAGCTATACACATAATTTGGTGACATTCTCTAGCTCACTTTTTGAAACAAAACTGGAAGTAAATGGTTCTAATCTGGCAGCATGATAGCTCCACTTCAGACACCTTGTACTTAATGATAACAATATTTTTTTACAAAGTTCACAACACAGTGTTCTAAAGCAAGTCTCTTTCTTTCAAATGCCAAAAATCATTAGACAAAATACGATTAAACTTGGCAACATGAACTGCTTGTTCAGTTGACATTTGCCGCAGCAGGAAACTTTCATTAAAACCCAATATTTTGAACATAATAGATATACAATAATGCAAAGCACTAAATGCTCCAAAATAATTTTGTTCAGTATGTCTTCTCTAATATTCAGCACAACTGTCATAAGGAACAATAAAATGTTCATTTTTAAATCTAGAAGTTATCAGACTTCTAGATCTAGAACAAGTAGTTAACAGACAGGCAAAGGACTCAAGGCAACAGTTACTAAATGTGAATTTTAAGGAAAAATTATATTTATGACATTTAACATCTAAATTTACTATTTGTTATTAGTTTATAGAAAATATATTCCAGTGCAAAGATAAATGGAGAAAGTTTAAAATTGACATAAAATATGCAAATAAGAAATAGAGGAGAAATTTGGGTAAGATGATAATAATGTAAGTACTCAGTATTAATTTTCATCATCTTAAATAAGATGCACAATATTCACCGATTACTTTTGTATACAGAAATGTCATACCTGATAAATTAGTTCATTATTGCTAAGATCATAAACACTGCAAGTACTATTATCATCCACAATGGCTAATTTTTTTCGCTTGGCACTAAGATCTAAGCAACGAATTGAAGCCCCAATTTTCAGTACTGAAACAGGTAATGCATTATCAACAAATATCTTTATCACCTAAAAGTAAAATATAAGAATATAAATTTCTTCAAACAGTAAGCTGCAATCTAGAACATTGCATCAAAAGCACAATTACAAAAATATTTACTTATCAAATTTGTCCTAATTATGAGGCAAAATTTACTTATGATATGAAATACATTATAACTAATAGTTGACACATAAACTGGGATAGAGCTAATGTAGCCTTAATTGAATAACTGCTTTTAATTTATGAATTTAAAAAGTTTATAAATAGAACAAAATACTAGTTAAAGAACTGACATAGTAAATATCTTATGTAACACTAAGCTGCAGAAAAGAAATTTGGTAGTTGGCATGCTTGTTACTTTTGATGCATACATATCATATTAATGCTTTTCTCCTCCTTTGTAGTATGCATAGAAAATTTCATATACTATGGAATTTTGCTAGTCTGTTTAGTAAAAATGTATATATATATTTTTAATAATTTATTCTGGAAAATTGTTTAAAAGTCTAATGTTATTAAAGCAGTAAATAAAAAAAAGCTATCATTTCTAGTAGCAATGGTTTGCTATAAATGAGTTTCAAAATCAAATGTTGTTTTAATCCAGAGAAAGTTGCAATTTCCAGACAATTGATGCAGATTTCATCTTATTGCCATTGTTATTCTTCCAACAATGAGCATGGTGGCTTCAGTTTAACTTGTGAATAAAAACTTTTTAAACTTCAGCCTTTTTAAATTTTCCAGCTACTTCCAATAAAAGCCAGAATATGCAAAAAATTAAAGTTGAGAAAGTTATGGAATAGAATTATAGTGAATCCATACAACTGACTGTTACATTCATCAAATATTTTGCAAATGTTACAATTTACTAGGTGTTTCAAAAATATTAAGTAAATTAAGGAAATTGTATTTTTGAGGTAAGGAAGGATTATTCATTATTTATGGTTCAAACAGCTAAACCAACAAAACTATAGCTTAGATGCTATTTATTACACATAACTGGCCCTAAAAATTGGTACACCGTGAAGGAAGACATGACTTTAGAAATCTAGCAAATTATCAACACTTGTATATAGAACTAGAAAAATGGAAATGGAAAACATTGCAATAGTTCAAATGCTTCACACGAATTTCAGCAACAAAGTCAAATCCCTCCTGGTATAAAAATAGAAATATGTAGGAACAGACAGTATAGGCTATATATTAATAGACTATGAAACATTGTTTATATCCTTAAATAAGCTATAAAGTACTTCCCTGACATTATGAATGTATGTATATTTTCATGAGCTAAATCAGCATTTAAAGTTAAATTCAAAAGAGAAAGAGTGTATAGTTGCATTTTTTTAGATGAAAGAACATATACAAAAGTCAGATACTTTTGCATTAAAACACTACTTGGTATTTCCTTGGCATCAGTTTGATTTGGCTTTCTTCCAGACAATAATTGCTCTTATAGCCATTGCCTGCATAATCAAATTTTCATTTAATCAGGGGTTGTTATTTTTCCCTCGTGTAATGGATTTCGTAACTGGAATTCCCAAAAGATGAGCGAAAGGCTATCCTGTTTCTTCTAGAAAGAGATATTTTCCACAAAGGCAGACTGAATTTGAAAAACCACATCATGAAATTAAAATTTGACTTGAAGCTGAAATGGCCATGCAGCCTTCATGCCAAAGAAGAAAAAGGTGTTCCAAAAATGAATGTGATTTGTTGGATCAGGCATTCCTTTTATTATTGCTGTACAATTCATTTACAGCTAAAGGAGTTAATACACTATACTGAGTTTGTGAACCAAAGCTTGCTTCAAATGATTCACAGGATAATAGCTAATTGCTATAATTATATGAAATATGTGCCAATTCCTTGTTATCTTGCTCTAACTTTAGAGAAAGCATGTGGGTGTCAACCACGTGCCTAATGCAGGGTTAAAATTGCTGGATCCTATAAAAATGTACAAACTGAACAAAGTTGATTAATATAAAGAAATAAATAATAATGTAGGCTGTGCTTTTTCCTAACAGTAGATTTTTGTAAGATTTTATGACAAAAATAATGAATTTTTCCTTGCTTCTTCTCAATGGTTCTATTTTGAGCCAAACACACCAGGAAAGGAAGAAGTCAAAATGTGCCAATATTTGCAAAAAAATGCATATTTTGGCTTTTGCAGAAAAGTGCCATAAAACATTAACACACCATTTCTACATAGTTTCTTGAGGAACAGAAAAATTTTAATGTATAAATGAAATAGCAGCAAATAAGAAGTTATTAAAATGAATTAGAAGTACATAGTATATCCAAAATGCGAGTTCCATACACAATTGAAAAAATTTATATTATTTCATTTTCATCAAATTTTATATACCATTTCTACATATTCACTCACTTACACACTTTTTTTTGGTAGTTACAGAGCTATACTCAAGTTATCTCTGTTTAAGATCTCTCCAGATAGGTTCAGTGCAGCTGAAGACCAGTACATTCACACATTTCTAAATCTATATTTAATGTGTTGAAACGGCCAGCTTCTCCAGGATTAGTTGAACCTGGCACGGCTTTGAACTAGATAAAGAGCCCTTAAAATGGGTTTCTGTGTTGAATCCAGTCCACCCACCTTATAAATGGTTCAGTTAAAAGAATGAGATCAGATAATCGTGTATTTAGACACAGCAGCATGCACAAAAATCCTTACAATAATATTTCCACATAGTTTTGAACATCATTAACCACTTCCCTGTTTTGCCCGAACACCATTCGGGTACTTGAAAAGGGGCCTTCCCTGTTTTGCCCGGGCGCCGCTCGTGCGACTGATTTTTCCCTCTATTGCAATGATTTGCCCGAATTTTATGCTTGATTAGTTTGCAATGCTTCTAACAGATGGCTCTAGTAGTCCAGTAAAGATCTGATTGCAAATCCGGTTTCTAGTTTATCTTTTATTGTTTTTCTTTTACGCGGGAAAGTTGCGAATTTTTTTTTGACTCAATCTGCTTACTATACAGTTCGCTGCAAACTCTATTTCTTTTTAAGCTGAAAAGTAGAAGAATGAGTGATAATGAACATCTCATAACAGATGATAACTCTTACAGTGGATCAGACAGTGAATCTGAAATTTCCATAAATGAAATCCGGAAGTAATGAAAGTTCGTTTTCGGACTTTTCAAGTGATGAGGAAACGGAAAGTTCGGATGACCTAACTCAAGTTCAAAACTTTTGTGAACTAGATATAACAAATCCTCCTTCACCTCCACCTCGATTTCCATTCACAGCAAATCCAGCTGTTCACGTAAATATTGATCTAAGTAATGGAACTCTACAATTTCTTGATATTTCCTTTGATGATAATCTTCTTGAAATTATAGTTTCTGAAACCAATAAATATGCAGATCGGACCATTCGGAGTAGTGATCTATGAAGGAATAGCAGAGCAAAAAAATGGGAACCAACAAAGCGCGAAATTCAAGTGTTTCTTGCTTTGAATATTTTACAAGGAATTGTGAAAAAGCCTGATGTTGAGCAATACTGGAGTAAGAGACATTCAACATCAACTCCATTTTTTTCCAAAATTATGTCTTACCGGTGCTTTTATCTTATTCACCGGTATTTACATTTTTCTGATGATACCGAATTTGATGCTAAAACACATGAGTGTCCAAAACTGCAGAAACTGTGGCCGATCATCAAGCATTTGAATACGCGTTACCGAGAAACTATCACACCTGAAAGAGATGTTACAATCGATGAGAGTTTGATGCTGTACAAGGGAAGATTACAGTGGAAACAGTATATACCTCTAAAGAGATCATGATTCGGCATAAAAAGTTTTATTTTATGTGAATGGAAGTCAGGTTATCTGTATCAACTTATTATATCCACTGGGAAAGACACTTTTTGATGATAATTACCAGCATTTGTGCAAGTCCTCTCAAGTAGTGATGACACTTATGCAGCCACTATTGAATAAAGGATACTGCCTAACGACAGACAATTATTACACATCACCAGAACTTGCAGATATCCTTATCAACCATCAAACAGATATATATGGAACCCTCAACCTTACCAGAAAGGACGTCCCAAAAGAATTACAGAAGAAAAAATTAAAATTAGGAGAAATCTGTGCGTACCAAAAAGGGAAAGTCTGTCTAATGAAATGGATGGATAAGAAAGCTGTATCTCTATTATCCACAATACACAACCCTATAATGATTGAAGTGCCATCTTACAAGGATGAAGTCAGAAAGAAACCAAAGGTAGTGATGGAATATAATAATACCATGGGAAGTGTTGATAGAATGGATCAGCATCTCACCAATTATCCAGTTACAAAGAAGAGAGGAAAGAAATATTACAAAAAATATTCTTCCACCTTTTAGATGTATCGCTGTGGAATGCATCCGTTTTATACCAGAAGCATGGAGGAAAATACTTGCATTTGAATTTCAGACTTGATATAATTGATCGCCTGATTGAAAGACACTTTTTAGAAGTGATTGCTCCCAGCGACAAAAAACTGAGACCAACGAGGCAGTGCTTTGTGTGCTGCTCTAAAAGAAACGATTTCGGAAAAAGAGTGAGAAAAGAAACTAGATATTTTTGTCCCGACTGCGATGTTAGACTATGCTTGTCACCGTGTTTTAAAATTTTTCATACAAAAGCTGAATTTTAAAAGATATTAGATGTAAGTCTAATAATAAATTCTCTTTTCTAATATCCATTTCTAGAAAGTATTTTCCCAAATCGCTTATTTCACTGGAAAAAAGCCAACTTTAAGTAAAAATGTAATTTTTCGTTGTAAATAAAAATTATCACAGCTTCATAAATTTAATACTTATAATAGTTTTGACTCTTGATTTGAGTTTCTATAATCGATTTTAAAATAAAATTGGTTTTGAAAAATATGCTTATTTTTTGACACAATATGTCAGAAAAAGAGACTGTTAAGTGGTTAAGCCACTTGTTTTAATGGTGCAACAGTTTTTTTCATCCTTGCACTACAGAATGAGCTACTTGTGGGGAAATCCAAGTATAA